GAGCCGCAGCGAGCCCCACTCATCAGCCGCTTATTGAGTAGTCGACTTGTCGCTTACATCCCTACACTGGGCAGGCAAGAGAGCCAGCCAGCACCCGCCTCCACCACTGCCTCCTCTAGGGGAGCAAAGGGGCTTCCCGCCCAGCAGAGCACAGTGCTGCAGTGTGTCCGTGTGGTGGCGTCTGTCAAAGCGGGGGGCTCCCAGCCAGCCATCACACTCACCCCTGGCCCCACGGGCAGACGAGCTGCAGGGAGAGGAACCAGTTGTCAGTCTCTGGGTAGGGAATAATTAGGGTGGCTTCTGGGGAGGATGCCGTCATGTTCAGAGGGTAGCCCTGGAAAAAAGCTTCAGAGAAAGCGGCATTCGCCAGGAGTCACGTGATGTGGCTAAACGCTCTCCGGGGCTCTGCAGCTTTGAGCATGAAGGGAGAGAGACAAGACCCACAGAAATAGCAGGCTGCACCAATCCCCTGAGCTGTGGGGCATCTAGAGATACCTCCCCACGGCAGCCTTGTTCTCTCCAGCATTGGCCCTCGTGAGATCAGGGCACATGAGGGAGCCAACTGTCATTACCAGGGATATGGGGAACTGGGAAAGGCCCAGACCCCCGGGCACAGCACTCTCCAAGACCCCATGTCTGCTTGGGACAGCATTGGGAGCCCAGGTGCAGCCGGGCTGGGGCGTCTCTGCTGAAGGACAGGGCGCAATGCTACGCTGCTCACAGAAGGATGAGTAAGTGCTTAAGTCCAGCAGCAGCCTCTGCAGCAGCGCTCCCAATGCAGCTAACTCCCAGGAACCTGCCAGTCCCCTCAGCTCCTCTCAGCCAAGTCCTGCCCCAGCAAAGCAACTACACTTATTCCGGCAGCAGTGCTGGCCGCATCTCCCCCTTACCTCGCTAGCACAGCCAGCTTCTTCCCCAGGGACCCTTTCTACCCGGGGGCACAGCTTGGAGAGGATGGCTCAGGCTGAGACAGGAGCTGCCGGGCTCCAGCGCCAGCCCGGGACCATGCTGCGAGAACCCTGTTACAGCGGGAATACAAGCGGAGCCCTGCGGTGGGAGCCAGCGGTGCCGTACCTGTGCTGCAATTCGGCGTGGCATTGAGGGTCAGCACCGGCGAGGCAGCACTCACGCACGCGGTCACGCTCGCATTGCCTATGCTCAGGGAAGTCTGTGCAAACAAAACACACAGGCGCTGAAACAACATTACGCTAACCCCTCCTCCTAAAGTTACCACCCCGACGTGCATTACCAGCCCTCCATGCTGTTAACCAGCCTCTCTGCACAACACTCCCCACCTCACCCCCTCACACGGAGCATTTGGCCTGGGACACTGCAGAACAAAGCCATTTGGCAAGACTTCGTTTCTCTTTGCACAAGCCAGGCTGAGGCATAAGGAGTGAGAGAGAGACCTACAGGCAAGTGACAGACAATTCTGTTGGCCTGATGTTCCCGCTTGGCACACATGCATATCATTTGCAAGCCTACTATGTCTGCTCTGACATGAAGTACGGTGTGGAGCTGTCACATGGTGCTTCTACCAAGAAACAGGGATAAACCATGCTACACCGCTGCTAAACAACATCAACAAGCTAATGTGACCCCTTTGAAATATTTGCATGTGTTTCTGTTAGTTTAACAGCTCTATGCTCCATTTCAAGACATACCAGTGCATTTCTTGGCGACTTCCAAGTAGGGATGTTACAAAATCGTCTATTAGGGTAACTGTGTAACTGCTGACAACCCCAGCGGTTACTCAGTGTGAAAGCAGGCTCTTCGCTGGCCATGCCCCTCGCGCGTATTGCCACCAAGCAAAAGGTCAACTTCCCCTTGATGAAAAACCCTTACACTATGTAACTTAAAGATCAGCGAAGAACAGGAACCAAAACCAGACCTGAAAGGTTCATGTAAAGTTCGTGCTGGTTGTGTCGACTGTGCCATGCCCAATGAGGCAGAAAAGGAAAAACAGGAAACCATCTCACCCCCTTACTCCTGTCACTTAACAGGCAGGGTCTGCTAGCCTATCACAAAAAGCGTGCAAAAGCTCTCTCTATAAAACAGCTTTCCCTCCTATATCAAATTGAGGAATCCCGAATAAACATTGAATGGCAGAATATGAGCCAGGTCCGAGGACTGATCACCCAAGGGCCACCTCCTGCTCACCGAACCAAACGAGTTCCTGTAGAGCGTAACGTATACCAAACATAACGAATACCAAATATGTTGTTGTTGTAGTTTGTGTGTCTGTTAAATGTAAGTATTGTTATCTGAAATTGTTTAGAGGTATTGTTAAGTAGTAGTGTTAAGAGTTTTAGATAAATGATTAGTCTTATAAGTAAGACTGATGTAAATGTAACTGTTAATAATCCCTGGTCCCTTGTTAACAACTATTGGGATTTAGAGAAACCTCAAAGAATTTTCTTTACTGTATTTCATTTTGCTTATTGGTCATTCTAATTATTTGGTGCCTACGTATGTAAGAAATGGATAAAATAATACTTTATACGTAGAAGCCCTTTAATAAAAGTGTAAAAGCTATTTAGTAATAGTTTGCCTGTTTCTGCACCTCCCTGGGGCTAGCCACATTTCTGAACCTTTTATTTTAAAAACCACACCCGTGTTGCGGGCTCTGCAGCATACCGCTTAGCAGAGATCATAACGAAGCCTCCCTAGGAGCAGGGCTGCCAGGCCCTGCCACCCAGCTCCCAGGGCCTTCGTTATGACCTCGGGGCCTTCGGAGCAGCAGCCAAACCCCTTCCCTGGGAGAGGAGCAGGCAGTCAATCTCTCAATCCCGTTTTCCCCAAATTTCCTCATATGTGCAGTGAAGCATCATGAAATGTGAAACCCACCCCAGCAAATCACACTGGTATCAAGCTCATTTGGGAGAGTCCATGACTACCTCATGTTGTCTTGCCAATACCAGCTACAGCTGCTGATCCGTGGTGTGAATGTTATGCTGCTGGCCTTCCCTTACAGTTCAGCACTGTTGTATCGACCGTGACCACGCCAGCTAGTTTGGCTTCCACAATAGGTATAAATGTGGGTGCTTTTCTTTGTGTTTGTGGTTGAAACCAGGCCAAAATGGAACTACCTGAGTATGATCAGCAGCAACAGCTGCTATTGGGAAGACAACATGAAGTAGTCATCTTAAAAGACACCAGGAGAGATCTCGGACAGCGCTTAGTAGGCAGGTGACAAGAGTTTATTTTCTCACGTTCTTTTTCAGGGTAAGTTGGTTCTGGACGTGTTCTAGATTTCTCACACACTGCACAGTGACTTTTCTTTCCCACACTTCAGTGATATTTCTTGTGATGCTGGACTGCTTGTAGACTATTCCTGAAATACCAAACTAGCCATTGAATGGAAGGTATTATTTCAAATCAGTGCTCTCTACACTGATGTCTATATATCATCTCTTCTATGGAGATGTTTTCCATCAGCATGAAGTAATTCAAATCCATCTGGAATGAATACATCTCCCTGGAGTCTTTCCACTTCAGTTTTTTGGAGCACTAGCAATGAACCAGCTCAGCTCACTGTAAATGATGCTGAATCCAGGAACATGTAATGTCAATTCATTTGCAACACCCAAATGGCATAGAGCTGCAGCAAGCCTTCCATGCAGTGATATGGTAATTTTGGAGCTGTTAAGAATTACGCACTCTACAATTAAGAGCAATCTTCTTTAAAGGTCCTCAGAAAGATACTTCTTGCTGGCTGAATTATATGCTTATCAGTCAGCCAAAGAACAAATTCATGCCCAAATCAAAAGACAAACGGAGCTGACCTCTGAATTATAATCACCTAGCTTTGGATACTATTCCAAGGGTTTCATTTTGGCTATTTCAGAACGAAAGGTTGAAGCAGCATTATACAAAACCGCTTCTTCACTTGTTACTGTTGTGAGCAAGACACAAGAAGTAATTCTTCCACTCTATTCTGCACTGATTAGGCCTCAATTGGAGTACTGTGTCCAGTTTTGGGCAGTACACTTCAAGGAAGATGTGGAAAAATGGGAGAAGGTCCAGAGAAGAGCAACAAAAATAATTAAAGACCTAGAAAACATGAGCTATGAGGGAAGACTGAAAGAATTGGGCTTGTTTAGTTTAGAAAAGAGAAGACAGAGGGGACATGATAGCAGTTTTCAGGTATCTAAAAGAGTGTGCTAAGGAGGAGGGAGAAAAATTGCTCTCCTGGGCCTCTGAGGACAGGACAAAAAGCAATAGGCTTACATTGCAGCAAGGGAGATTTAGGTTGGACATTAGGAAAAACTTTCTAACTGTCAGGGTGGTGAAAAACTGGAATAAATTGCCTAGGGAGGTCGTGGCTCCTCCGTCACTGGAGATATTTAAGAGCAGGATAGATAGATGTCTATCAGGGATGATCTAGACAGTGCTTGGTCCTGCTGCGAGGGCAGGGGACTGGACTCGATGATCTCACGAGGTCCCTTCCAGTTCTAGTGTTCTATGATTAGAACATTCATAAACCATTTGGATTACTTCAGTTCCTGCTTCAGATTCCTAGCAGCTTGGATAGCATTAGCTAACATTACTGCACTGTCCAAAACAATGGTAGACTTGCCTCGTCCATGCTGTGCATGGAATGAAGTGCAGAACCATCCTGTTTTTTCTACTCTTGCCTATACTTTGCTACTGGAACAGCTTGTTATTTCGACATCTGCGGGAGCAGGGCTCCCTATCTTTGTTGCAGCTTGAACAGGAAGAAAGCCTATGGGTTAGACAACGGTGTTATAGATCTCGCTTCACATCAGCTGATAATATAAAGGTGACTATTGCTGCAGTGTAACTAGATAATTTTGCTTTAAGATTCATTTTACTCAAGTAGGAAGAAAGGTCTAATTGAGTGGAAAACTGCATCCATCAAGTCTCCCACAGATATTCTTTGCAACATGTCGCCATCTCTGCTTCCAAGTTCTGCCTCGCTTGGAAGGGGTGCTCTCTCAAAGGTTTCTTTTTTATGAAGCTTTTTGTCTTTTTGTCTGGTTTTCGCAAGCGAACAATGCAGCAGGACATATTTGATCTCGTGGCTATAGATGTGGGTGAACATCATACTTTTTTAACAGCATCAGAGCGTATTTTTTTTTCCTGAGTTCAATACAACTCTGATATATGCCAAAATTGACTTGCTCATGTATTTTTGAAAGCAACCCCTGTGACAGAGTATTGGCAGCAAATCCTTTCAACTAGAAAACTCATCCAGAGGCTGCCCATTCAATTACTCTCTCCTGGAGTCTGCCGCCAGCATCACAGAGTTCTGTTCAGCACTGGTGGTTTTTGACAGTTTTGCATTCTTTTGGTTTAAAAAAAAAAGTTGTTCAAAGTTTGTGGAAAGACTTTTTCTCTTGGGCTACGTCTAGACTAAAGGCTTCTTTCAGAAGAAGTGTTTTTCGGAAGAGATCTTCTGAAAAAACTTCTTCCAAAAGAGCGTCCACACTGCAAAAGTGCATCGAAAAAGCGAATCTGCTTTTTTGAAAGAGAGCGTCCAGACTGAACGGACGCTCTCTCGCATGTAAGCTGTGTTTGCGACAGGGCACCTGTGCTTTTTCCTCTTCTTCCAAAAGAACTCCCTCTTCCCCATCTACACACGCTTTTTTGCGAAAGAGCAATTGCATTCTTCCTCGTAGAATGAGGCTTTCCAATGCCGGAAAAACCCCTCTGTTCTTTTGATTTTCTTGAGGAAGAACGCAACTGCAGTGTGGACATTCCTCAAGTTTTGTTGGAAAAACGGCTGTTTTTCCGACAAAACTCTGTAGTGTAGACATATCCTTGGATGCAGACTCTAAGGGGCTTATATCCTCTGTGTCTTTATATATCGTAATCTTCCTGTAAAGGTAAAATTCCCAAAGCATGTTAGCATTCCTACTGCCCTAGCACCATTTTTCATCTTGCACAAGTACACAGACTTGTGCTAAATTTAATGAACATATTAGTGTCAAAATTGTCATTTTTGTTTACTGAGCACTGTGACTGAAGCCCAGTATGAAGCTGCGTATTGTCATCTCTAACACGAATACCAACCCGTGCATAAGCACCATTGAATTAAAAAGCTTCGTTTCTAGAATTGCTAGAACAGCAGCTAGTACTGCATCCATAGTCAATTACAAATTAAAGCCTTTCACCAGGCAGACTAAATGGTACATTGGATGCACAAACGCTTACAAATGGAGAAGCATTATTTTAGGAACTCACATATATTTATATCTGCCCACTATGCAGTACAAACCACGGACAGGCAATCTACTGCTATTGGTACACAACCTTTAGCGAGAGACTGATCCGGTCTGCACATTTAAACTGCAAATAGAGCAAACCATTATAGTCACTCATCAGACACTTTGACAGTTAAGAACGTGCGATGTGAAAACATTTCATATCAGCATCTTGCAAAACACTGATATTTGCTATTTTTTGCCATCTGCTAAACAGCTTCATCTTTTCTGGAAAAATAAATAACTTGCGCAACCAATACAAATCTTTTAATATGCTGTCATTTGGTAGCTTTGACTAATAAACACCACATTAGGGTGTTGTAATCAACAGTAAAGGCTGTACTCTCATCGTGCAGTGTTTCTGGAACTATAAAAATTACACTCGCTTTGGGTACCACTGCTTCATCTAGTCTACAGGCTCACAGCATCACTTGATTGTGTCACTATAATAGGTCTGTGCACATACAGGGGATACATTCTACTCCAAAAATATGGCCCTTTTTTGGAGAACTGCCACAAGCCAACCAGTTGTGGAACCCGGGAGCTGCTCTCATCCCCCGGCATCAGGGCTAACCTGCTTGGAGCACTGGGAAGGCGTCTGTTCAGGTGCTGCTTGTTATGAGGCATGCACTGCAGTGTGCCTGTATTACATGCTCACTGGCAGGCTCACAAGTTGCTACCTTGGCTATTCAGCAACATGTCAGGGTGAAGCTCCCCAGGAGGGGAACAGGCAGTGGATCTGACTCCTACCACAGGCTGTTCACTCAAGTGTATTGTTTTGCCAGGTCCCAGGCATGGAGAAATGCATGTTGGTTGTTATCATCCAACAGAGAGGCTAAGTGACTTCCCAAGGTCCTGGCAGAACCTTGCCAGTGTCTTAACTACTGGACCATCCTTTCTTCCCTGCTAATGCGAATGGCGCCTTGCTTCTCTCGGCTGTCTGGGAGGCTCTGCTACCTGATTGGGCTAGGGCTGTTGTGAATGCTCATATTCTTTCTTGCTGCATCTCCACAGGCTGGGCTTTTCTGCTTTGCTCTGATGTGACCACGAGACCCTCTGCCTGCCCCAATTCCTCCCCCACCCAGTTCAGTCAGGGCACTTTTCTCCCCAGCAGATGCAGAGACAGCTGGCAGGATACGTAGACTACTGTAGGGACAAATTAGCCAACAGCCCATTAACATGTAGGTAAAACTCCTGAACTACAGCCTCTGGTTAAACTTTGCACAGAGGCCTTGCTGCCCAATCGGAGCAAAGTCAAGGCCTCGATGAGCCACAACAGACAATAGACTGCTCCGGGAAAACAGGAACACACAGAAAAGCAGCCTGTCTGTTTATGAGCTAGGCAGCACAAGAGCAGACAAAAAGCAATAATTGGGCACCGTTATCATGAGTTTCACCCCACCCCCCGCAAGGTTACGGCTCTACAAAGTGCTGCTCAGTCTGCTTCTTGGCATGGGAAAAAGGACACCCAGCTGCCTTTTCAAGGCCAACCATGAATTGTTAGCAAGAAGCTAGAGATAGCACCCCCCCTCTAAGAAGCCTAACTCGCAGACCTACCAAAAGCATTCTATAACACAATTGCGTACCTTCCTCTGTCTTTGTTTTACACCCCCAGAACAGCACCTACGGACCACACCTATCACTATCGGGAAAGGCGCCGTCACCGCTCCTAAATCCCAGTCGGAATGTAGCTATGCCTTGTAACCCAAACCCTGGGGGGAGGGGGCCACAGACGTGTTTAGTGACTATCTTAGCCTGAGCCATGGGAAGAGCTACCAAGTAATCTTCTAGACTATTGGCTTACTGTGCCTATTATGCCTTGCTGCTAGAACCTATCCAGGGGCTCGGGAACTCCCACCCCGTCGCTTCTCTCTGCCCATCAGCTCCCTATATAGTCTAATGTAGCGCTGCGCAACCTGAGGCTCTCCTGTCGAGGGGTTGCAGTGCTGGGTCAGCCGCCATTTTCTTTTCCCAGCTCGGCAGGGAGAGCGGCAAGCGAGCAGAGCAGGGCTGCGACCTTTTTTTTTTATTTCCGGGGGTCGCACAGGAAAAAGGCTGTGCACCACTGGTCTATTGTAATCATTTGCTTGGTGGTGTTTGCTGAGCCCATGTGGCAAGGTGGCACTCCGCCAGCACTGTATAATAAACACTCCTGCTTGAATCTACACGGTGTCTACATTTTGGTTTCCAACAGTTATGTCTACACTGCAGAGTTTTAGCACAAAAACAGCTGCTTTTGTGCAAAAACTTGCAGAACATCCACATCTCAAGTGCGTTTTTGCGCAAGAAAATGTACAGTGAATTGACAGAACAGAGTTTTTTGCAGTATAGGTATTCCTTTTTCTATGAGGAATAACTCCTTTTCGCACAAGAGCTCTTGCGCAAAAAGGTGTGTGGGGACAGGAAACAGGTTTTTTTTTGGCAAAAACAGCCTATCGAAAGAAGCACAGGTGCTCCGGTGGCCATCATTCAACAGAGAGGCTAGGTGACTTCTGTTAATGGCAATTAGGGCTTTCTTGCGAGAGAACGTCCATGCGTTTTTCCGATGCGCTTTTGCAGTGTGGACGTGCTCTTGTGCAAGAAGTTTTTGCAGAAGACCTCTTCCGCAAAAAGCTTCTTGCGCAAGAAGCCTGCAGTCTAGATGTAGCCCTAGATACAGAAGGACATATTTGTAAAATTCTTTGTAAAATTCTTTGTGAAACTGGAAGGTGAAGAGCAATGAACAGCAAAATTCCCCCACAGTTCTGCAGCACCCCACAAACTCCCAGCCTGCCCCTGTAGTTCTGTTCGCGTTTCCACTTCCCACATGGCTCTCCACCAGGATAGATGCATGCATGGTGGGGCAACTAGAGAGAGACATCACCACCGAGGCGAGAGCTGACACAGGAGAACGCCGTACCTCGTTCAGCAGCAGGTCCACCACCAGGGTGCCTCCGCTGTCCATGCCAGTATTCAAGTTGAAGAGGAGAAGCGTGGGGAATTCAGAGTGGACAGAAACACTGGGCCCATTTAGGACTCGGAACCTCACAGAGGCAACGTCCAGGTCCTCCCGGATGACGAGGTGATTCTGGAGGCAGAAGGTCTCTGGGTTGGATGCACCGTTTGCAGTACTCGCTGTGGGCAGAGTGGTGTTTCCCACCGTTCCCGCAGTGCTGGCACTGGGACCCCCACCCAGGGCTGGCGTGCTCTGGCTCTGGTTCAGGCTGTTGTAGAAATTAAGGAATGAACTGGTGCTCCCCGGCTTGCAAGCTGCAGAGCAATGAGGAAAAGGAAGGTTGGTTACTGTGGGCGGGGCCAGCGTGAGCACCCTCAGCTGGGATGTTCAAGCTTGTTGCAACCAGAGGACTTGGCTTTGGCGGCTGCTGGGCCGTCAGCTCACAGCACAGCAGTTTGATCCCAACACCAGGGCTGGGAAGCAGGCCTCACCCTTCCAGGCCCAGTAGGCTGAGACTTGTAGGGTGCATGCACTGAGTGGCTGGGACATGCCCTCATGCCCTGCGAGCGTGTGGCTGCGGTGAGCAACTCCAGCCATCTGAGTGACAGGGACAGGACGGGTTTGCTGAAATAGCTGTTTTAAGACACTGCCAGTGCCGGCTGTGTCCCTTTCAGAGCCCCATTGTGACTGGAAAGGCCAGTGTTGGAACCGCTAGTCCTGGGGCCTGACAAAGGCCAGAGAGCAAGAACTGCCCCACCCCCTACTCGTGAGCCGAGTGCCATGTGTTGGCAAGGCAGCCAGGACAGACGATCTGACACCTCTTCTGCGAACATCAGCTGGGCACGGGGGTGCAGGGCACCCGCACTAACGGCTGGCCCATGGGAATGGGGCACTAGCGCTGGTCGCCTCCAAAGCACTCCACATACACAAGGCACCGGAGCTCCCCACAGGCCTGGGAACGCTGCTGCACTGAGCAAGGGGGACGGGTGAAATCTGCCTTGAGCCCGGTTGCACCATCAGGAAGGAACCCCAAAGTGAAGGGCAGAGTCTGTACTGCAGAGGCAAAGTGCCCCATTAACTGAGCTCAGCCCCTGCTCCAGCAGCAGGGACACGGCTACCCCCCGAGCACCTGGATTATGCTCTCCTCTTGCCACGAGATCCCACCAGCTGCAGCAGAAGGCAGAGCGCCCCCACCCCCAGCCCTCAGGTCTGGAAGGAGAAACGGGCTGCCAAGAGCTATTTTGTTAAGAACTTTCCCAGGGTCAGAAACTTTACATAGTGAAACCCGGCTCCGAGAGCCAGGCCGGGAGTCAGAGGGGCCCAGCTTATGAGGCCTTTATGGAAGCCACGGAGATCTTGAGAGGCCTGCCAGGAGCCTGCCAAGGCAGCAGGTCCCTCAGATGCGTATCTGAAATGGGTGAGAGAGCACTGTGAGGCGGTGGGCGGAGGAGCCTGGTTCTCTCAATGCCAGCAGCCTGTCAGCACCCTCAGTCCAGGGCCAGGCAGGGTTTCAGTCTTCACGGCCCCTCGCTCCCCAGGGCACCACTCACATCTCCTCACTGGTCTGCCCACCCGGCTCCGAGCCCAGGCTCACTGCAGAACGGCCATCTGAAATGGGTGAGAGAGCACTGTGAGGCGGTGGGCGGAGGAGCCTGGTTCTCTCAATGCCAGCAGCCTGTCAGCACCCTCAGTCCAGGGCCAGGCAGGGTTTCAGTCTTCACGGCCCCTCGCTCCCCAGGGCACCACTCACATCTCCTCACTGGTCTGCCCACCCGGCTCCGAGCCCAGGCTCACTGCAGAACGGCCACGCAGCCAGCAGATGGCTATTGCCTCAGTGCTGGCCGGGGGGGGGGGGGGCCCCTCCCACGGCAGGGGCCAGACTGCAGCGGCCTGAAGTCTGTGCCTCAGAAACCCTGGGCTCTCTTGCCTCCCGCTCCACAAACTGGCTGAGCGCCACAGCAGGGAGGCCTCCCCAGCCAGTGGCCGATGATTTAACAAGCAGCAGCACACACAAGGTGCAGTTGGGATGTTTCAAGGGCTTGGCCACGCCAGGCAGCAGGGGACAGGGACCTACATGGCTAGGTCCAGTCATACTGTATAGGCTGCCCCATTTGAGACATGGGCTTGTCCCACCTCAGAAACCCTATTCAGCGCCACAGCAGGGAGGCCTCCCCAGCCAGTGGCCGATGATTTAACAAGCAGCAGCACACACAAGGTGCAGTTGGGATGTTTCAAGGGCTTGGCCACGCCAGGCAGCAGGGGACAGGGACCTACATGGCTAGGTCCAGTCATACTGTATAGGCTGCCCCATTTGAGACATGGGCTTGTCCCACCTCAGAAACCCTATTCTGGGGCCGGCAGCACCGCAGAGCACACCTGTGAAGGAGGCCTTCATCTCCACGGAAACGCTGGTGTTGGCAGGGCCCAGACTCTCCGCCATGATCTGCAGCCACTTCTCCCACGGGGGCGAGTCAAGGACCAGGCTGCAATTGGCTCTCCCCGTGCACTGGACAGTTTTCTGGAAGGACCGCGGCAGCGTGATGGAGCCCAGCACGAGCCGCACGGCACACGTCTTTGTGCTGTTCTCCGCACAGCTCCGCAGCGTGAACTGCAGGGTGGCCGTGTACTCGGGGATGAAGATCCTGCAGGAACAGGAACCATCGACAGCTCAGCACCTGGCCTAATGACAAGCCAGCTTGGGGTGGAGAAGGTCTGCCGCTTTAGAAAGGGAGTAGTCACCACTAGGGTGAGTCCAGGGGGGCTACGGAGCCTGGCGCAAGGGCACGCTGGTTTGCATTGCTACAGTCCTGTCCAGGATGGTGCATCCTAATGCCAGTAACTAAGAAGGCCAACAAGGTGCTTGTCTTCCCCTCCCTGAGGAAGGGGGGGCCCATTTAGTACAAGCCCCCAGCACAGACCCTCTCCTTCCAGGGGAACTCTCCCAGCTCTCGCTCACTGAGGGTAGCCAAGGGCCCTCAGTGATTCTCATGCCAGCCCCTGGGGAGAGCTGAACTCCAGCCGCGTACGGGAAGGGCCGCCCGGAGCAACCCCTGCTGCCATACTCACTTACTTGACATGCAGCGGCCTCGCAGGGGAGGCAATGGTTAGCTGCAAGGGAGTGTCTGGCTCCAGGACAGGGACATCAATGAGTCTCAGCACAAACATGTCCGGCTGGAATAGATAGGTGCACGGAGTAGAGAAACCCTGCGGGGAGAGGAGGGACGCTTAGTGCCAGGAGCGCCAATCCGGAAACTGCTCCAAGTGAAGGACCAGTGGAGAGCTCAGCTGCCACCATGGGAGCTGCCAGACCTCCCTGTGTCCCCACCAGTGCTCTCCTTCCCCTGCCAGCACACACAGCGACACCCTCCCCCACGCCGGGCGGTGTGGCTGGCCTGTCTGAGGGGCATCTCGCTGCGCGCCATGAATCAGAGCTACATAGCCCACCCCCGTAACATGCCCCACTCTCTGCTGCTCTGAAAACCCACATCTCCCCACCACAGCCAGGCCCCAGTGCTGCCAGCCGCCTCTCTGCAGTGCTTGTGGGTCCCTTGCCCGGAGCAGCAGTGGCTCCATTCAGGCAGGCGCAGGCTCTACCGAACACCAAGGGTTACTGCTCCTGCAACTGTCCCACCTCCCACCTGTTCTCACTCCAGTGGACACAGCCCCAGAGCCACACACCGCCCCCAGCTCCAGCCTGCGTCAGAGCAACACCCCCCCAGCAGGCCCTTCCGACACTAAGTGGCGTCTTGGCTTCCCTTGGGGAAGCTCCCGTGCCACGGGGAGCACGCGGGGCTTGAGCGAGAGAGGATGCAGAGGCAGAGAGGACGTGAAAAGGCGTTGGGGTGAGGCGCGGTGCTAAGTGGGGTGGTACAGGGAGCGCGCACAGCCGGCACCGAGTCACCAAAACGCTTTTCCACAACAGACGCGGGGTCAGTCCAGAGACAGCGCGGCGCAAGCGTCACCCAGCAGGCAGCAAGCTTGGCGTGGGCCCCGGACTCCCTCAAGAAGCAGAGATCATCTGGTGGGGAGGATGCCCCAGAGGAGCCTGCAGGCGGAGGCAGAGGGGGCTCCCAGACCAGCTTTCCAGAGATCTGGATTCCTCCGGCAGCAAGTCTGCACTCATGGAGCCTAGCACGCACCAGGAGAACCTCCCAAAACTCCTCAGTAGCAGAACCAGCCAACACGGGCCTGCAGAGACCCTCATCTCTCCCACTGTTCGGCAGAGCAGTCCTGATGCCACCTACCCCCGCCCCTAGGGCTCCTCTCTCTGGTAGGGGCTCTATCCAGATGCCTCCCTAGGGCAGTGTCCCTGGACCAAGGGACAGAGTGGAGAGAAGGGGGGAATTTCTCAACAGGCCCAGTCCTCTGGCATTGGCTACATTTTTCAAGTCCTTCTCCAATGAATGTTCCACCGGCATCTGCAGCCAGTCTGGCTCCAG